TTAGCTGACTGATGCAGAAAATTCTTTATGCTTGGGTTCCATTCGAGACAGGTAACCTAAGCTGTAATGGGCAAAAAATGGGTAAAATAAGACAGTATATGTTTGATACCCCATAATCGTGGAGTGTAAAGGGCATGGCCAAATATCTGTCCTCTCATCAGTTGAATTGCAATTTAAACTTCTCATTCTGGAAGCATCGTTCCATACATATGTACATATGTATGATTTTTGACAGAAAACTGACCAGCAGACAGTTGAATATGAATTTCGACCATCCATATCCTTTGCGCAAGCAACAAGATATTAATACTGAGAATCCGAGAGCCTAAAGGCACACTGAACCAATCGAAATGGCTGGCAGATGAAAGCCAAAGCTCGAAGGGACATGGTCTCCATTTGCTGGTTCTCATGTGTTTTCCCTTTACGTTCTGTGCCGCCTACTCTTTCGGCAATTCAGCTGGCAAAAAGCAGATATTGAAAACTCAAAAGTACATGGAATGGTATAGCCATTAGGGGCGTCGCTGACATGCATACGAGTACGAGTACGACCGTATACGGCGAATGTTCAAACATTTTGTAGCATGCATATGCCCAGTACATATGTTTTTCGTGTGCAGAGCGGTAGAGAGAGAGCGAGGGGGGCATCGGGCCAGACGTTACTGCAACACCGATGAGGATGCTGTGTGGCACGCTAACAAACATTCAATTAAACCATACTTTGTGCGTCTCAAAATGGCGTCGCCGTTTTTCACACTGTTGCCGCTTCGCATGGTCAGCATTGTTGGAAAATTTGCCTTTTTATATTGTTATCGGTATACTCTTTTGGGTAAGGTAAACATTTAGTTGAGTTTGCATTATGGTAAGGAAAAAAAATATATTTTTAAGTATAAGCCAACTAAAAAGTCCCAGCAGAAACTGATGCCATAAAATAAAAAAAAAGATATGCAAGTTGGGTTCGTCAGCGATATATTACACTACTTTTCTATCTTTTGTTTTTTACTGAATATTCTTGTTAGACTGCGTAACCAATTCTCGCCCCTAACATCTTGAAGTAACCCAAAAAGCATACTTCAAGGCAGCTTCGATACATGTGTAAAGGAGAAGTGAAGAGTTCAATGATGGAGTTGAGTACTACTGTTTTTTAATCAAATTCAAAAACCTATTGACTTTTGTATCAATTTCAGGCTTTTAAGGGCATCCTAACTTCATCATAAATATCTGTTTACTTAGGCTTCTCTTTGGATATTTGTTTTTTTTTTTGTTGTTTTCGTTGTGCATATTCTCTGCATTCATCGGCTTTGTTCGTGTGTACGATGGCTTCATTTAGCACGCAAAAAGCGTTGCATAGAAAAAGGAAAACCCTGACAGAATAAAGAAGAAACAACAAAAAAAAAACAACGGAAAGCCGCCCACTCATAGGTGAGCAGGGTCCTAGTTCTCCTGTTCAAGGTGGGTGTGTTTGTTGTCTGGATTCGCTGCCAGAGTGTTGCCTCTATTGTGGGTCTAGTTTTTGCTGTTGCTGCCACTAATAGTTTTTCAGCTCGTAAAAGCTTTGTTGTGCCTGTGCTTTAGTCCAGGGCACTTCGATCTAAGTTGGCTACTGGCTTAACTTGGGTGGTGGCTGCTTGGCTTCTCCAGTTAGTTCTCTCTTGTATTCTCCACCTTTCTCCCACTTACTCTCACTCAATCTGAGTGTCTATGAGTGATGCTGTTGCTATTGCTGTTGCTGTTGCTGTTGGTGCTGCTTGTGTGCTTACCATGGCGGAAACTTGCCAGGCAATTTCCGCTTTAAGTACCATTAAATTCGTATTCGTTTTAATGAGCTCTCAACATGATGCTTCGAGCCCCCCCATCGTGTTAGTCAGTGAGTCTGTCAGTCAGATCTGTGATCTGGTCTCGGCTCTCGGCTCGAAGCCCTTTCCATCGCCTTCTAATGACATTCGATTCCTGTGTGTCTATCCCATACTTTGCAGTGCCTTTTGTTTAGACAGCATGACGCATTTATTTTCGGCATCCCCTTTCTGCTTTACAACCACTTTGATGGGCTTTTCATTTTCGTTTCGTACACTTTTCGACCAACAGACAGTGAAATCTGCTTAAGTTGCCCGTGCACCTGTGTTCGAAAATCGATTCCAGGAACGCTTCGCAAACGCACACAAAAGCGGAGAGAGACCAGGACAAAGGCCATCGCTGCTGTTGGTAAACTAATTAATTTTCATGTCTTTGCCATGTCTTCTGGGAAAAATGGCATTGAACATTGCGCATACGCCACATTACACATAATTACTTTCTGCTTCTCGGAAAAAGCACTTGATAAATAATTCAGAATGCATGTGAAACCGAAAATGGAACAAAGCAGACGAGCAGCCACCATTGTGGAAGCCAAACAAAAAGACTAACAGCATTCACACAACTTCTCAGGTTTTTTTGGTTGCCTTGCGACTTATCCTGGCAAAAGGATTATTGTGCTGCTTTTTTGGGGGAGGGGGGCCAGATAAAAGGGAGTTTGCACTGGCTTGCTGCCTGTGGAAATCCCCATCTATTAGTGCAAGGTAGAAGCAATTATTTGAGTGAAAACTTTGGGACTGCCGCTGAAAGTTAAGAGCTGCTGGTACCCGACTCTGTGGTGCATTTGGTTTTGTATTATCTCATTGGGTTTCACGTTTTTCAGGTTGAAAAATAAACGCTGGCAAAAGTAGAGCTTGCACAACAACTTTTTCTACCCCCACTTCGGCTACAACTAGTTCACTGTTGATGTTAATGGTCTACCCTGAACGCTGAACAGACTCGGTTGCGGTTCGAGGAAGGTAGATTCAACCGCAAGTTGTCGAATAGATTAGTTTTGCAATTTTTCAGCTCAACACTTTCGAGGGAATTAAGTGGGTTGAACGGCACAACAATGGTACGATAGCAGATGAACTGATGCCTAATGGATGGTCGCTGCGAATATAATCCAGATATGCATTAAAATGGATTTTTGCTTATTTTAAAAGCATTTCTCGATGGCGTTTGGGTCAGGCACTAGATCATCAATTTAAAAGAGCTTTGTTTATTCTTATTTCCCCTGTGGGAATGGACTAGTTTTATATTTATTGAAAAATCTGTATGCATATCGATTAGCGAAATGGAAAACATTTCGCAAAAACAAACTATCTATGTGGTTGTGGTCGTCATATTTATTCAGTCTATTATGAACTCTTCTAATAAAATGAGCTGTTCCACGAATTTTTCATATTTTTCAGGTCCATTTTCCATCCACTTGACAGAATATTTTAGCGGCGCGATTTCGTCTCTCAAATTATTATAATTATTTATATATAGTCACTTTTCCATATGATTCCCATATTTCCAATGCATCAGCTTAGATACTTTTGTTAATTATTCGATTCTCACGTTCTCTATATATGTAGCTATATCCCGCTTCAATGCAACTATCCTTTTGGAGGGGCATGGAAAAGCTTAAATTACATTTTTGTCTGCTGCTTTAGTGTCATTGCATTCTCCTCACATTTCACACTCAATTCGAAAGTTTACATTTGAGTCCATTTCCATTTGTATTCTGCACCCATCCATTCACCTATTTTAGTCATGGCTAACTATTTTCCATTTGAGGGGGTAAAGGAAAATACTGGAAATTGTCACATCAAATTGAACAAACTTTGCATAAGCAAATGGCACACACGTAGACACCATTCACTCGGCAAATTAAATAAACACTTCCCTTAGCATTCACACAACGCAATGTGCAATTACATTACTGAATGGGGGGGGGGACTGTACCCACTTCGCTCATTCAGGACACAGGTGTTTGCTGTGTGAGTCACCCGGTTTGCACTGAGCCGAGAGGAAGGTGTTTCCATCGAAATTTCCATACCATTCAAGTCACCTGTCAGTTGTACAATTTATCATACGCTGACATACCAGCTGTCATTGTCAAGGCCCGCGAAAGGTGTCGGAACCAAGACGAGACGCCCCAGGCGAGAGCGCCGCAGGACCATTCACAATTTTCTGGCATTTTGCTTTCCACTTGGCACTTGTCATGCCGCTTTATTAGCCACATTTCTAGTGAGATCAGACGGTATACTTCCAGCCGCGATTTTCAACTATTTTCCCCAATGGAATTTGCAATTTTTTCCCGTATATCTTCTGCGCTTTCCACTTCTTTCTGTTCTTCATCAACTGTTTGTCATGTCAACTATCCACCCAACTCAAGACAACACTTAATTATGTTTTCTGTTTCCCGGGCAAAGTTTTACCCTCTGCAACACAGAGATTCAGTGAGAGAGAGAGAGCGAAAAAAGAAAAATTACTCCAAATGGCAAAATGATTCCGCTGTTGTTTCTCCCCTCAACTCGTAGCCTCCACTGGTTGCATCATAAATTATTGAAGTTTCCAGTCTGTCATAGCCATGTAGTTTTTCTCTGATTCTCTATGGTCCTTTGGGAATTTAATTTGGCAGCAGGTGCCATGTCGCGACCCCGTCGTCTTTAAGCCAACCTTTTGTAACAGAACACTGTATATAAAAAAAAAATAAAATGCAACTTTTCCACTTATTTTTGCTGCCACAAAAATGAAAGCAACGCAAAAGAAACTAATAAAATGTTCTTTGCGGTTGGCAGAACGATATTTTGCTAGGTTTCGCGGTGTGTAGAGTGAACTTTTGTTGGGTTTCAACTATAAAATTTATTTTGTTTTCTCATAACTCCGGAAATGCTGTACTCCACTTTGCTGTCCGCTACTCAATAAATAAGTAGCGTAAATAAACCCAGCACTCTGTGCTGCTTTTGCCAACTTCCTTTCGAGGTGGAAAACTTTCGGTTGGCAGCTCTGTCCAGTTTACATGACAATTTGACAGTTTATTAAGTTCCCTTTCCACTCTTTCTCTCTCTCTCTCTCTCTCTTTTGCAAAACTCAAGGGAGAATTGAATTTTAATAGAAAACCTTAAGAGGTGTTTCGTTCCCCATGGAGCTACATGGATACCATTGCCTAAAATAATTTGTAAGCTTGCTGCAATTAGCTTTAATGCGGCATATAAAAATAATGAAACATAGTTGAGTCAAGTGTGCACCAATTGTCAGCCAAAAGTAGCTGCCCAGCCTCAAATCTCTTCCAACATTCGTGTTAAATGACAATATTGTAATGAACTAATTTTGAAAGTGTTTTTTTGAAAGTAGTCGTCGTCTTACTTTCTCTTGCTGGCTGCCGACATATCGCCGACGGCACAGTGACTGCACTTGAGCACTGAGTTAAGATGCGACTGTTCGCACTTCTTTTGCATAGCTAGACGTGCTTCGGTGATGTCACGTGCTCGCTCCTGGTCACGCTCGCGTTGGCGCTCCAGCTTCTGTTTCTTCAGTAGCGACCAGTCGAATACATTGTCGAATTGGTAGCTTAGATTCTTCATTAAAAGGCGAAACAGTTGCCGCATATAGGTGTAGTCGGGATCCTCATTAAAGCGCATGCCACGAATGTACTTCATTACCACAGCGAACTCGGATGGAAACGCCTTGCATAGCTCCTCGATCTTCGTGCTGTTCTTCTTCTCCAGTATCATCTCGTACTTCTGCTTCTTGTTGGTGGCGGTGATGCCCTGCCAGGGCAGCTTACCCAGATTGAAGTACATCAGGCAGTTGCACATCGATTCCAGATCATCGCGACGCGACTGCTCTATGCCCTTCTGGGCATTGATCGAAGCATAGCGCACGGTGCCCGTCAAATTGCGATCCTTGCGAAAGGGAATATGCAGACGAGACTCGGCATCCAGATACCGCTTGGACAGACCAAAATCGATGAGGAACAGCTTGTTGCACTGTTTGCCCACGCCCATTAGGAAGTTATCTGGCTTGATGTCGCGATGGATGAATCCAATGCTGTGTAGACTCTCCAAACGAGTCAGCAGCTGATCGGCGAGCATCAGAACCGTCTTCATTGAGAAGCGACGCTTGCACAGAGAAAAGAGCTCCTCCAGCGAGGGACCCAGCAGCTCGATCACCATGGCCTTGTAGTGCTCCTCGCAGCCGTAATGCTCGAGTGTGGGAAACCCTGGCCTTTGGGCCAACTTCTGGTATACCTTGGCCTCGTACGCCAGCTGTGGATACTTGGCCTCGTTTTTCTCCACCTTGATGGCCACCTCGGCAGCGTCTTTCAAGCACACACCCAGATAGATATCGCCAAACGATCCCGAACCAATGCGCTTGACCACCCGGTACTTGCCGCCGACCAACTGATTATCCATATGCAGTGTTGCCTTTCGGCTGCGTCCATTGGGACTGTTGTCCTCCATGCTTGCTGGGGGTCTGGATCTTCGTTTCGATTTTGTCTGAATTCCTTTTTTGCTGTAGCCACAGCTCGCTCTGGCTACTGACGTCCAAACTACTGAGCTCCGGCCTTTTTGTTTAAAAATAATTTTGTACTTTATTGTTGAGGCGAAACTGCACTAAGTTGATTTTGACGTTTAACACATGGCTGGGGCTGTCAAGTTTTATCCATTTGTTGGATGTTACTATGGTCACTATCTATATGAATGAGCTAGGTTTCTTTTTCATTAATAGCTTTATGACATAAGACTTTGCCAACTGACTAGCTGGAAAAATAAAGATGGCTTTATGGAAAATGCCTGCAGTCAGAGCGAAAGAACTATATGAGTCAAGCTGGCTGTACATTTGAGCTGGGAGCAGCGCTGCCGGCAGAATTGATCGAAAATTTTACTTTGCGGATACAATTTCGCTGGCTTGGTGTCTGTGTATGGTGAAAAACATAATTTTGTCTCAAGTAGTGCCTCAGTTGTGCGACTGAAAGCCAGTAGACGTGTCAAGAGACGACTACGAACAATAATGTTGCATTTTGTCTCTAGTGCTATCTCTCTCTACACAGCAAAATTGTCCAAGTCTAATGTCAAATGGCTATAAGTAGTTTTATGTGTTGGATAGGAGAGAGAGAGTATTAGTCGAGAAATTACTTGTTGAAATTTGAACACTAAACTCAATTATTTATGAAATTATAGATTAAGTTATTTAAGTTTTTCTAAAAATATAATACACATACTTTAAAATTTTTATTAAATTTTATTATATTTGTTTAAGGTAAATAGAAAAATCTTGCATAACATTATAAAACTCTGCGTCGACAAGTCATAAAGCTACGACAGGACCGATCAGACAAGGTAAAATAATTCGAACCCGACTGTTCAGACGATTTTATATCCATAGATGATTGGACTCGATCGCAGTCCTTTTCCTGATCTTTCCCTGACCCCTACCCCTCCCCCAGCCGAGTCCAATCGAATTTCAAGTCGTACACATAGTTCAGATCACGAAAAGCTACGCGAAGCATTTGCCGCATATACACATAGTCGGGATCTTCACAGAAGAACAGGTTGCGAACGTATTTGATGAGCAGAGTGATCAAGGGTGGAAACGTCTGGCACAGATCGTCAATATCTAAACTTTTCTTCTTTTCTATGATCAATTCAGTCTTTTGCTTTTCGTTGGCGGCGGTGAGGCCGATCCATGGCAGTGTTCCCCGATAAAAGTATATCAGGCAGTACATGAGAGATTCAAGATCATCGCGACGCGACTGCTCATTGCCCATCTGGGCATTGCGGGATGAATAGCGCAAGGTGCCGAATATAGAGCCAACCGAGCGAAATTTAATATGCTTCTGTGTATCGGGATTCTTGTATCGGTGTGACATGCCAAAGTCGATCAGAAACACCTTTTTGGATTTGTCGCCCAGGCCCATCAGGAAGTTTTCGGGCTTGACGTCGCGATGGATGTAGCCCAGGGTGTGTATAGTCTCCAGGCGTGCCATCTGTTGATCGGCGAGCATTAGGACGGTCTTTAGTGAAAATCTATGGCCGCACTTGTGGAGGAGATCCCTCAGTGACGGTCCCAAGAGCTCAGTCACCATGGCCTTGGACTTCCCGTGGTTGCCGTAGTAAAGAAATGTGGGAAACCCTGGACTATCGCTCAACATGCGGTACACATTGGCCTCGTTCATCAGCTGCGGGAATTCTTGTTCGTGTGACTCAATCTTGATGGCCACTTTGGTGTTATTCTTCATGCAAATGCCACTATAAATATCGCCAAAGGATCCTCTACCAATTTGTTCAAGCACCAGGTAATTGCCGCCCACCAACTGGTTCTCCATGGCCAGTACTTCGAATTCCTATCGTTTCTAAGCACGGTCTATATGACTGCTTCATATGAGCTTACGCAAGTGTTGATATTAAATATAATTTCTGGAGGTTTTTGTTTTCAAAAATTTTATTTTGTTTTTTGACGTTGAATTCATTCATTGTTGCTTAACTTTTAAATTCACATTGAAATACCCCCCAAAAAAAGGTCGCAAAAATTCCCAACCTGGAATCCCTGGAATCCCTGGAATCATTCAACATTCAAGAGCATAAAACGGGAATTAAATATTGAAAGTTTCAATGTAAAATGCAATAGGTTAATGCAGCATCATTATAATGGAAATAACCGGGATATAAATATGAAATTAGATCATTAGCTTTACATTTGTCAATTTAACTAAAGGCTCACCATGGGCACAGGGACAGAAGGAGAGAAAGAGATGTGCTGTGGCAGGCAGAGGTAGGAGAGCAGAGGAGAAGCGCGCGATGGCAGTGAGTGAAAATTAAGCGCTACTAAAGGTAAATAAATAATGAACAAACACACGTAAAATGAAGCATTTATAAAGCCGCTTACAATCATGATAACGATGGCCACCACCAGCACCAGCACAATGATGATGATGATGATGATGTTGATGATGATGGTGCCTCTCAAGTGTGTGCGTGTGGCAGACAATGCCAATGCGGGGAACAAAGCAACTTCCCTGTAAGTGTGTGTGTGTGCAGGTGCATTAAATGCTATTACCGTGGAAGCCCTGAGTGGAGGTGGAGCCAGTCCAGAAGCAGACCCATCAAAAGCCAGCTCAACTCGAGTCAACCCGTCCCAACCGTGGACGCGTCGGGCGGGAATGGCGGAAGGCAGGCGGTTGTATGGCCACGTCCATTATTAATAATTTTGAGACAAAAGGCCACACTAAAACAATAACTAAGCACGCATTAAGTAGTAAGTAAGTAGATGACAATGTGAGCCAGGGACACTGCCAAGGACCTGCAAGTACCGGGGATGGCCAGAAGTTAGTTACGTGCACACAAAAGTACTCGTACTTTTTTCTGCCCCACTCCCCCCATCCCCAAAAGCATAGGAAATAGACATAAAAGCCAAAAGCGAAGGAGAACCAAAAGTAGCAAAGTAGCAAAGAGGCAAAGAAGCAAAGAAGCTGCTGCAAACGACGAAGACGTGGCACCAAATAAAATAAAACAAATATAATGAGATTTCGTGCAGCAGCATTCGAAATAGATGCTGGAGCATGAGTACAAGTAGAAGGGTCTGGGGCTGGGACTGGGGCTAAGGCTAGGGCTAGGAGCATCCAAACAAGCGTAGCATACTTATCAGCGTGAGAGCAGAGCAAAGATGGCGTCGCTGCTATCTTTTGTCTGTCTCTCTACTACGTGTGTGTGTGTGTGTGTGGGTGTGTGTTTGTTTGTGTCGCTCACAAAAACTAAATTTATTTTAGTTTTAACTATTTGCCCGGCACAAACGATGAAACGGCGAAAAAGCCACGCTAAAAGTAATGCGACGGACACTACTGTCTATGTGAGTCTGAGTGTGTATCTGCGACTGTGAACTAAAGAATATGTAACTATATTTGTGTGTAGCAACGAATTTGTAGCTATATCTGTGTTCTGTTATGGACCAAAGCAGTTGTGTCTATATCTGAACCAAAGTGACTGTATCTGTGTGGATTTAACACACACACACACTGTAGCTCTTTCACACACTCACACACAAAGAGATACATTTTCACTTTTCACCGAGTACAAAAGCCGGCAGAGGACAAAGGATATTATAAATTACATACTCAGTTTTACTCTTTTTTCCCCCCTTTTTTGTTTCTTTCAGCCTTCTCGCCTGGCCCCCCCCCCCCCCTGTCACCCCTGTCCACTGTCTCTCTGTTCCCACTGTGTTGGGTAAGTGTGTGTAATTTAGTCTGTTGTGGTGTTGCCCGCTTGACGCTAGTTTCAATTTTTAGACCCAGTCCCCCGCAGTAGCTCTTCGTCGTGCTATTATAATTTTAGCAGTTTATTTTCTTTTGCTATGCAAACTTAATTCCATTTCTATGTTTATGTGCTTGCACACTTGTTCAACTTAAATATGGCTGGGTACAGGGTGTTTTGCAAGCATCGGCTATAATCTGAGTTATAATAATGGAATATAATAAGAGAATAATAATAAGAATGGATTTCTGTTTATGTGCGATGTACGGAAATTCCCAGATAGATAGACCTTTCATTTTTCAATTTTTATCAGTTCAAAGATTGGTAATAATAGAATTTATGTAAAACTGCAATCCTAATCGCTGGCAATCTGGAAAGGCACCCTGTTTTGTTGCAATCAAAGAAGAGCAACATCAACAATAATAACAACAACAACAACAACTAAAAGCCTGAGCATCGCGAGGCACAAAAAAGTGGTTACCCCGTCGCACAGCACAGTCAAAAGTCTGTTCGTCCGAGCAGATTGGACGGACATTATTGCTGTTGTCCGCGTCGCAGTCGCAGTCGCTGTTGCTGGCTCTGTAGCTGCCGCGGTCGCGGTCGCTGTCGCTGCCACAGTCGCAGTCTCTGCTGCCATGCGACTGTACCAAACGTAGTACGCAAACAACACACACCGTACCACATCTATATAGAATCTAAGTGGAGAGTAGATGTACATGCATATGGCGGCATATGGCAACATTCCACGCGCTCATTCGGAGCCACTCCACAACAACAACCTGAGCAGCAGAAGAGGCAGCAGAAGAGGCAGCAGAAGAAGCAGCGGCAGTGGCAGCGGCAGCAGCAGCAACAGCAACTGAGAATTCTGCTGCAACAGAGGCTGTGGCAGAGATTGTGGCAGCGACCGTGGCATCAGCAGAGCGAGCTTGTACTTCGTGTTGACGTTGGCAGGCAGTAAAATTTCATACATTTTTGGTAACCACCACCACCATCACCACCATCAGGAGTAGCAGCAGCAACAGCAACACCACCAATATCACCCTCTTTCCATTCCACAAAATCTGTGTTGTTTTTTTTTTGTATGCCATTCTCCCTATCTGTGGGGTTGTTTCTGTCCAACGTCCCACAGGCAACAGTCGCTGGGTCCACGGGCTCAGTCGGGACTATAAAAATGGATTTTTATTATACCTCTGCTGCTGTTGCTGCTACTTCTGATGGCTCTGCTGCTGCTGTTATCTCTGCTGGCAGAGTTTTCTCAGTTTTCTCTCACCTTGGTGTTTTGTAGGTAAAAGCCAGATACCAAAAACTTTCCTCCAGCATACCGCTTCGTACATAAAAAACGCTTTTTGAGTGAGTCCAGCACTAAAGCTTATTTTTGGAGGAAGCTTTGAGCAAAAGTTTGTTCATTCATCTGGGTCTTGGGTGAGCCTGAAATGTAATTTTTGTTGGGTTCAAGAGTGAATGGAATGTGGCAGAGGGGGATCGTCGTGATGGAGGGATGATCCGAGGTGTCAAGCAGCGTAGTTCAGGGCACATTTTGGGCAGTTTGAGTAGCATCACGTATTTTATATTGTTTTTTGAGTATTCCTCATACAAAATATAACCATCTTTTGTGTCTCTTGGAGAGTTAAATATCCCAAAATCGTTTCTAAGAAACGAAACGAAAAATGAATTAACGTTAAAACCAATCCTGGGGAAGCTGTGTCTTTTGAAGGCCTTTTTTAAGACTCTTCTATAAGTCCGAACTTAAATCATTTGCTAACCATTCATAATTTGAATGTTATAGTCAAAAATCATAAAATAATACTGAGTTCCCTTTTTGGTTATCCTATAAATTCCACTCAAATTTCTCTCTTGCAAAGCACTCGAAAAAGCTCAACTCAACGAGAAAGCCGGCAGCAACAGTCTGTCTGTATATACGCTCTACACAACACACACACACAGTTACAAACCCATACACACAGAATCCATCCAAGTATATAAGTAACTATGTAATAAAGAGAGAAGCAAGCCCGGGTGCTGGGCAGGGGGTTGCCACCACACCCCCTTGAAGCAGGACACTATTGGGATTAAGTCGACGCGGCAGAGCCTGCGTTTGCATTTGTGAGAGAAGGATGCTGCATCTGTGAGAGTAGCCAAGATGTATGTATGTGTGTGTACGTGTGTGTGTGTGTGTGTGTAAGCGTATTTTGTATTATTTTGTTTTTGCTTTTTGCCATTTTGTACATAAATCACAAAGCAGCGACCGGAGACCGCGACCGAGACTCTGACTCCGACGGAGAGCCGAAGCGGATGCTGCGCAGTTGCTGCTCTGCTTTGCTCTGGTCTTCTCTGCTCAGATACATCTGTATGGGTGCAATATGTGTGTGCGTGTGTGTGTGTGTGTGTACCGCCATTTGGAATTTTTCGAAATTGGGATTCGCTACAACAAACGCATTTCGTAGTAGACGTTTAGGCGTCAACTAGTGCGCTTGGTGCTGCGCTTACACGTAGATACGCGCTCAGCCCAGTGCTGAGCGAACTTGAGGCACAGATGAACGTTGTATCCTGGTACCAGCTGCTGCCAGGACCTTCTTGCAACTGCCACAACCACTACTCACCACATTTAGGACACACATACGCCATAAATCGAGGAGAAAGCGCCACGAAACGAAGAGATAAAAGCCATTAAATATCCCAAGCATGGTATCCGGACATACAGACAGACATATAAAGCAAAGCAATCAGACAGACAACAAAGACCAAAAGAAATACCGAATGATTAATTTTAATTATTCGAGACCGATTTCCACGACCAAGAACGAACGACAGCCACATATTTTTTGCCCAAACCTCAACTCGAACTTCAACGCAAATGGAAAACCGTATGAAAAGAGAATCAAACGAAAAGTGAAAATGCTGTGTAAATAATTCTAACATAAGTTGATATAAAAGTGTACAAAGGCCCAAAGCCGCAAAGCAATGGCAAAATGCCATCATAAATGATTAAATATTTAATTCCAAATCCGTTCTGAAAAGTGCGCGTTATGTAAAAATCTCTGGGGTATGTACTTGATGTTGTAATGGAATATACTACGTCTATTTGTCATGCATATTTTTGGTGTCGTTTTGATGTCAATGTCAATGTTGTCCATGTTGTAAATGTCGTTGTTGTCTAAATGTTAATCGTAAATATTCACAAGAAACCAAATTATGATCATGAATAATCATCATAATATACAAC